CATTTGAGAGGAATATGTTGCAGCCCCTTCTTCAGCATGTTCTTGTACCTTTGGAGGTGCCCCAGGTCACAGGGCAGGTGGAGGTCTGGCTGCAGGGTGTGGCGAAAGCCCTGCAGAGCCACACAAGCTGGCATGCTGCTGGAGAGCGGGTCTGCATGGGACAGTTTCAGGGTTATGAAGCGAGAATCCTCCAGTGTAGTTCAGTGAATGTTTTGTACAGATTAAGGCACATGCAGTTTTGAATATGGAAAGATAGGAATAATTGTTTTCTGTATTTATGATATATTTTCTCTTAAAGCATCGCCAAGTTTTGCTTGAAATCTTTTCGAAAAATTATCGAGTGCGCAGGAATGTCATCCAGAATCAGTTGAGTCAAGAATGTGGAGAAGATCTAAACAAGCAGGAGGTGGATAGAGTGCTAAAGGTAAGTTTCTATTCCATTGTGGGTTGGATCCAATTAATAAATGAATTTTTAATGCTTGGTTTGAGCAAAGGATCATATTTTACCTTGAACTGATAAATGATGAAGATGACAGAACAATTCTTGGAGTGTGGACAAAGTCTGGTTTTCAGCTTGTCTCATTCTACCTTCTTTCCCTCCAAGGAGTAGTGATTTTGTCTCACGCATTATTTTGTATTATTGTGACAAATCTTTGTCATCTTGGACCAACAGAGAATAGAGTGTAGTAAATGTAATACTTCAGAGTTATTTTTAAATAATGTGGAGTTAAACATGAAGGAGGTGGGAGGGTTCTGCACAGTGTTTTGAGTTTACCAGCTGTTGGTTAATGCTGAAGAGCACAGGTGGCACATATTCAGAAGGAAATGCATTTCATTCTGTAGCAAGACATGCAGCAGTGTGCAGAGCAAAACCCTAGCCAAAACAAGCAGGCAAAGTAGTAGTTACCACATTTCATTGTGAATGTTTATTTGAATCCTTTCATCTCTGCCTTTGAAGATGCACCATTTACTTGCTAAAGCAGTTTCAGGTATAAAGTAGGGACCACACAGGTCATAATTGACAAACTTTAAAAGTGATGCAGGATGGCAAAGTAGAAAGTTGCCAACTAAAGTAATACTTCAATCATTGTTGCTGGGCCTTTGCTCACTGTCACCCACTTCAATAAGACAAGTGTTTATGTATTTTATTAATTGGCATCTGAAAACGGAATAATAGCGTATTTGAAAAATTACAGATCTGTTCCTGTGATAATAAGCAAACTGGTCTTGCTTGAAAGAACCTTGTTGCTTTAGTATTAAAATAAGCTCAGACATTTCTGCCTGCTAGACAATACTTCATGTGGCTTGCCTGTGCTGGGAGATTTGTCAAGCGACTGATGAGCTCAAATATCAGCTCTCGTAGAACGTCTAGGCAGTGTACTGGCATTAGTTTTTCATGATGCTGTTGCCATTTAACAGATAACCTATTTCTAGAAAAAATAACCTTCTGGTAAAAAACTGGATACTGTTTTAATGTAAGTCATTAAGTCGTCATGTGACCAGCCTTGTGTTGTGTCAGGCTTCTTTGCCTTGAATACGTTTGTCACAGAAGTGTGTGAAATTATCTTTGTTTCTGAAATAAAGTTCAGAACTATGAATTAATGCAATAGGAAGATTCTCTGGTTTCTTTAAGCCACAAGAGATTGGATTCCTTTTTGAATGAAATTGGATTTGTTGACTCCTATTTCCCCATATGCGTGTGCTCCTTTTTTATACACAGAGGAACAGACTGACAGGGTTTGTATTTTTGCATCTGCAAATCAAGTCTTCAAACCCTCTTTCTAGCCTCCACACTAAATTTTGTACTTGTTTCTGTGATGCGCAAGTCCCAAGGCTTCAGAAAAAAAGATACTTTTTTCCCCTTTAAGCTTTGCAGCATCAGTTCTGTAGCAGTACTTAAGCCTGTGTTGAAATTACCTAAATGGGAGGGTGGGAGCAAAAGAAGCAGCCATTAGTTTTGAACTCGAGCCTTGGTGCTCATCTAATAGCAGTAAGAAAATGAGCCACAAGAAAACCCACTTACTGAACTCCTTTGCTGTGGTGCTTGCCTGCTGGCAGCTTAGCAGACGTGTGGTCAGAATACTCAAGCACGGTTCTGAGGTTTCAGTTCATTATCATAGAATGTTGTTTCTTAAAAGGCTTCAGATATGGCAGCTGCTTTCATACCCAGCCCCTTCCCACTGCTCCCCTCAGGCTCTCCACCTCAGCCTGTGTTTACCCCAGTTCTCCCCACCACCTCTCCTAAGCTGCCTTCTGCACAATCCCCATTTTCTGCCCCCAGAAACCCAGTTTCTTGCTGCCATCCCATTGCTTGTCCTCATGGCCTCTCAACCTTCCCCCGCTTGTGTTTGTCATCTTCGTTTAAGCTACATGGTCTCCAGGGTGGAGACAACCTGCTGCTCAGGACTGGGGCTCTCCCTTGTGCACCACTGAGGAGACTTTTGTTGCTGTTCCCCAAAAGAAGCCAGACTGTGATTCCCAAGAGCTTACGGCCTTGCCCTCTCTCCCCAGGACTGCTGTGTCAGCTACGGCGGGATGTGGTATCTTAAGGGGACGGTGCAGTCCTGACAGCGGTGGGGGCGGATTCGAGTGATCTCCAGGACGAAAGAGGAAACCTGCAGCGGGTGGCACAGACAGTAATGCCGTGGCCTCGGGGGTGTGGGGCAGGATCTGACCCACTTTGGGGCACGTGGGCATTGCAGACAGTCCCTGCCATCCCAACACGCTCACACACGTGTTTGCATGGCTGTCGAGGCACGAGAGCAACTAGGAAGACAACCGGGGACCCTGTCTGCAGCTCAATTAATTGGGGATTTCTAATGTATTTCAATTCTCATCTGTTTCAATATAAAAAAAATAAAACCATATACTGACACAGACATGATGGAAAATCATGGTCTAATACTTTATTTCGTAAGTAATGCCAATAAATTAAATTTGTTTACAAACCTCCCAGTTTTTGTTAAATACCTAGATGCTCTCCCTTGCAGCCCTCTTTAGAAAATGTCATGTTCATGGAAACGACAGGCTTGGGAGGGGGGAACAAAAGTCCCTGTCTGTGAACTCTGTACTACATAGCAACTGTTCTCACCTGGTGTCTGTGAAAGGAGTGATTTGGCAAAGTACCTACAGTTGAAACAGATGTGGAACAACTGCTGGGTTTCTTTTATTGGTGGGGGTTTTGTTTGAGGGGGTTTTTGCATTACTGTATGCAAATACAGCGAGGTAAGTAACTGAGTGCACCCTCTGGAAGGCATCCAGCTGTAGTTATCACATGGCAACAATGTAAAACCTCTATTTTGTGTAATTTTTTAAATAAAATTTTATCTCGAAGGTCAATTCTACCCTGCCTCAAGTTTGTCCAAGAAGAAACACAAGCTGCACCTGCTCCTTGTATAGCCGGAAGGCTTACAGAGGAAGAAGTCAGGACTGTTTTAGTAGAGGCTTGGAGGTAGATGGCAAACTGCTCGGCCTCGCTCTGCTTGCATCATGTTCTCTGGGGGCAGCTGTCAGGTGAAGGGCCTGTGCTGAGGGGCGGTAACCCCATGGGGTTACAGGTTCATCACTGGAGCCTAACTGCAGTAAGGTCAGGAACCTCCAACCCTCAGCACTGGAGAACGTAGTTACTCTACTGGTCATGTTCTTTACTATAATTTCCATCACATGAGAAGCTCAAGGAGATTCTATTAATTTCATCTACTTATACTCAGAAAAGAGTGAGTTGATTTGTTGACCAAAATAAGCAGATTAAGGTAGTTAATCCAGGTAAGATTGGCTAAGAATATTGTTATGGCATTTCTGTGGAAAATATCTATTTTTAAACTGCTAAAACTCTACCTTAATTAATATGCTAGTGTAGTTTATGAACAACATCAATATAATTGGGAGGTGATTTAAGTTCAGGCAGCTTTTGCAGCCTTTGTCTGTTGCACACACCCATGGCTGACACTTCCCCAGTACAGCCCTGGTGCTACAGCGTTACCTGTGGCTGTGGCTGTAAAGTCTCTCCGGGAAAGGCACCATCCAAGAGAAGTTATGAAACAACCCAGCCTTGGAGTTTTATATTGCACAATATGTGCAGTTACATGTTAAAGTACAGTACAGCCAGAGCTTAGCAATGGCTTGTTACATTTACATAAGAATCAAGTAGTGCTGTGGAAATCTAAGAACATTTTTGCTATTTTTATGCTTTAAAAATGGTATATATGAAAGTGCTCTACATCAGCCAACAGTAATAAACCACCAAAGATCACCTATTTAACCAAAAATTCAGAATTGCTTTTATATGTCTTCTGGTCAGGGAAACTGACAGTACAGTTACCCTGATGGCAGAACAGCCACTCTTCTGCCTTTTGTTTCCCCCCCTCCTTTTTGAACAGCACCGACAAACACCACAACAATGAGGAGAAACTACCTGGTTCCCTCTGGATTTCTACCCTAGACAGGCCTATCCTTTTAGCATAACCTTTTTAAAATAGAAATTTAATGGGAATTCCATCTGAGCTCTGTAGGAAAGCTGGCAAAGCTAGATAATGCAGGTACCATCTGTGCCAAGTTTGCCATTTCCCGACTGGCACAGATGGGCATAATTACTAGTTACACATGGAGCCTGACAGGATTATTTATTTGCTTAGAAAAATACAAGATTCAGATTCCCATTTTTAAATAACTCGGAATGCAATACATGTTTTAGAGAAACTCCCACAATATGAAGTCATAATACTGCAACTGAAGGACAGCTATACACGAGCCTAAGAGGGCAGGACACAAAGCAGGTGGAACTGCAACAGCAGACACTGAACTAAAACTGAGAAGTTGTCAACATTCTGCATCAACTGGTACATCGCAGCAACCCAGACAGGCAGTATATTCCCAAGAATATACAAGACCCTTTATAAGGAAAGGACATCATCTTTCATTGTGCCTCCCCCCCCCCCCTTT